CTCCCTGTTTCTCTCTCTCTCCCTCTCTCTGTCTCTCTGTCTCTCTCTCTTTCTATCTCTCTCACTCTCTCTCCCCCCTCTCTCTCTCCCCCTTTCTGTCTCTCTCTGAGCCTTGGTGTATGGACCCAGTGAGTTGATCCTCACCCTGACCCTGCGGTCTGCCCTATTTCCAAAGGCTCCAAGACCTTCTTGCAGGGGGACCTGTACGATTCACAGTCATCCTCATCGCTGTAATCGCCACAATCATTGTCATCATTGCACTTGAGCCTCCTTTGGATACAGCGTCCTGCAGACAGAAAAACGCACAGATCACTCCTCCATATATCTGGACACACTGAAAGTACAAACGGAATCAGAATGCAGCAGCCTCTTTACAATTTGGTTACCTCAGAGTACAACAGGACCTTGATCAGACAGGCTGATAGGCCGAGGAGTGGCACTTGGAGTTTAGTTTAGGTCAATGTGAGGTGCTGCATTTTGGAAAGGCAAATCAGGGCAGGACTTACACACTTAATGGTAAGGTCCTGAGGAGTGTTGCTGAACAAAGAGAAGTTGGAGTGCAGGTTCTTAGTTCCTTGAAAGTGAAGTCACAGGTAGACAGGGTAGTGAAGTAGGTATTTGGTACGCTTGCTTTTATTGGTCAGTGCATTGAGTATAGGAGTTGGGAGGGTTATGTTGCAGCTGTACAGGACATTGGTTGGGCCACTTTTGGAATACTGTGTTCAATTATGGTCTCCCAGTAATAGGTTGTGAAACTTGAAAGGGTTCAGAAAAGATTTACAAGGATGTTGCCAGGTTTGGAGGGTGTGAGCTAGAGGGAGAGGCTGAATAGGCTGGGGCTATTTTCCCTGGAGCGTCGGAGGCTGAGGGGTGACATTATAGAGGTTTATAAAATCATGAGGGGCATGGATAGGGTAAATAGCCAAGGTCTTTACCCCAGGTTAGGATAGTCCAAAACTAGAGGGGCATAGGTTTAAGGTGAGAGGGGAAAGATTTAAAAGGGACCTAAGGGGAAACTTTTTCACACAGAGGGTGGTGCATATGTGAACGAGCTGCCAGAGGAAGTGGCGGAGGCTGGTACAATTACAACATTTAAAAGGCATCAGGATGGGTACGTGAATAGGAAGGGTTTAGAGGGATATGGGCCAAATGCTGGCAAATGGAACCAGATTAATTAAGGATACCTGGTTGGTATGGATGGGTTGGACCGAAGGATCTGTTTCCATGCTGTACAGCTCTATGACTTTATGACTCCATGGAGAAAGTTTGGTTGCAATTTCAGAATCCACCTCTAGATGTCAGGTGTGTCTTTATTATAGAGTCAAACAGTCATTAGAGGTCTACCTCACAGAAAAAGGCCCATGGAGTCTGTGTCAGTCAAAAACAACCACCAAATTATTCTTGTATCTCAGTCAGCTGTTATCAGCTTTGTTGTCCTCTCTCTAACAGACAGTAATGCCACAATGTCCAACCAGGGGTCACAGTCTAAGGATATGACTTAGACCATTTAGGGCTGAGCTGAGGAGAAATGTCTTCACCCAGGGAGTGGGGATCCTATGGAATTCTCTACCACAGGAAACTGTTGAGGCCAAAACATTGAATAATTTCAAGAAGGAGTTAGATGTAGTTCTTAGGGCTAAAGGGATGAAGTGTTTGGGGAGAAAGTGGAAACAGGGTACTAAGTTGGATGATCAGCCATGATCACATTGAATGGCAGAGCAGACTCAAAGGGCTGAATGGCCTACTCCTGCTCTCATTCTCTATGTTTCCATGTTATGGAAAAAAAATTATTCCTGTAAACAGTGAGGCATTCCTACTACAGTAAACATTGTTTTATCAACCGGCACTCTTGACAAACCGACCAAAAAAACCCCTCAAATACTGCGAGGTCCAAATATTTAAGCTGTAACTAAAGTATGATAGAGATGTGTAAATTCCCTGCGTTCCATTTCTATTACTTACTGTTGATGCTTTTACATCGATTCTTTGAGGGATGTTGATGTCTCGAAGTTTCGCTTGGTCAGGGTTCACTGTAGTAATGTCTATCTCTTGATTATTGGGAATATTTGATCATCTGGTACACTCCCACTCCCATAGGTGGCAGTTATTAAAAAGTTTGCTGTATATTTATTATTTTTGTATATTTAAGAGGATTTTCCGGGCTAAAATTCATTGTTTTATAGCCCAGATTTTTTTGTCAGTGTGACAGAGAACTGAAGACTTGGGACATGACACCAACACATCTGTTTGCAGGTCCCTCACTCATTGATTTTTTTTTTACTTGCCAG